GAAGGTAATTCAAATAAAGATTTTTTTTTATTTTCATCTTCAATAAAAAATTTTACTTTTAATTTATCCATTTATTAAAAAAAAATATATATATTTGGTAATATAAATAAGAAATGGAAAATATTTTAAATAAATATGATAATTATTTAATAAATAGTCAATATGAAAGTTATATACCGCAAATTGCAACAGAATTGAATAAACCAAACCGAAATACAATAGTTATAGTAGATGGTAAAGATAAATTTCTGAACATTAAAAATTCAAAACTTTATTTATCATTTGAATATGTACAAGAAGATGGTTCTAAATATCCAGCAAAATCTAATGTTATGATATCTGATAATGGTGGAGCATTTTTGTTTCAAAAAATTACAATTAAATTAAATAATAAAATTATAGATAAAAGTGAGAATACTGGAAGATTAAGTACAGTAAAAGGTTATATGAGTTATGCTGTTGATGGAAATGGTCCTACACAAAATTAAGGATTTGAATCTACATCTGAAGGGGGAGGAAGTGTCGAGCTCATCATTCCTTTATCACACTTTGGTTTATGATCAATGAAAGATATAAAAGGTCCTCTTTACAATGCTAGATTTGAAATAATTTTTACAAGAAACACTGATGATGATGCGTTGGTTCTAGAAACAAACACTGAAGCTACAGCAGATACAAAAAATATTAAAGCAAAACGTGGTAAAATTAATATTTTAGAATTAAAAGTTCAAATGCAAAATATAGAATATGATGAAATAACAAAAATTCAATTAGTTGATGAATTAATTAAGCATCCATGTATTTTAGCTTTTAAAAAATGGCAAAATATTGAAGTAAGAAATCTTACTGGAAAAAAGATAAGATTCGATTTATCATTTAGTCATCAAAATAATAGACATCCATTGTTTGGTGTTGTTTATTTTCAAACAAACAGATTAGACAATCAAGAAAGTAATTCTTGTTTTTTTGATCATTGTAATGTTGTAAATTATTCTTTTGAAGTAAATGGAAAAAAATATCCTAATGAATTACAAAATCAAGATTTTAATGATATAAAATGTTGTCAATCATATGAAGATCATATGAGTTATAAGAAAACCTATTATAAATCACATGAAGAAAATCCATTAATGTATTTAGATAAATTACAATTTAGACAAAAGAGACCATTTTTTGTTGTTAACATGACTAGACACCCTAATCAAATTGCAATCTCCAACTGTACTGTAATTTTAAACTTAGATTTCAGTCAAAATTTACATGATAAAACAATTTGTTATATTTGTTTAATTTCTAGTGCAGTGTATACGTTTGATATTGAAAGAGGAATAGTTGATGAAAGTTATTAAATATATTAAAATTAATTAAAAAATCGTTCCCTACTTTAATTTTTCAAGATATTTTATCTTGAAAAAAAGTTTTTAATATTTATTTTTTTATTAGATCAAGAACACCAATAAATTCTTCATCAAAATTAACAATATTACCTTTCAAATCTAAAATATAAATTTCTATTTTTTGAAACCGATTTTTACTAACTAATCGATTACAATATGCTCTCCACACTGTTTTTAATTTATTTAATTATAAATGTGTTGTACTTATTACATTCTCTATTGGTGAGCTGATTTTTATATGCTTATTAATTCCCATGTCATTGATATGCAGTTAAATATCATCTTAATAATAACGCATGCAACACATACGTAGAATATTTAAGCTGATAATATTTGAGATTGTTTTTATACACACAATTACAACGGACTTTGTATGATACTGTAGGTAGTTCAACCACTCCTTGACATTGCGGCACCAGGTGGACAACTGGAAGCGGAAGTGGCAATCCCCGGTAACAACGGCATGGAGATAGAAGTTGTCGAAGTCCAAGTGGAAGATGTAATGATGGACCTAGCTGAAGAAGAAATGCTACGAGAGGAAGTGGTACAAGATGACATCGAGTATGTAGATTTACTTCCTGCTGACGCAGAGGCAGAATTTGAATTCAGGGACGCAATTGACGTTTTATTACCAGACGTCAATGAAGAGGTTAGTAAATACATCTTATTAAAATTAAAATAAACATTTATAACATTAAATTCTTAATAACAGTGCATTTTAATTGCAGATCATACCGATTCCTCCTGTTGTACCGAGAGCACGTGCGCCCTTCAGAGACCGTCCGGCTGGCATTCAACACGAACTTCCAGATCGGCATGACCTAGGACCGTTGAATGTTGTCTGCCGGCACTGTGGTGCCCGCCATTTCTCCTGCGAGCGTACTTCAACGGGTCATTTTTCTACGTGTTGCAATAACGGTCAAATGGCTGTTACAGGAGACCGTGTTTTGGGTCCACCGCCAGAGTTATTAATTCGTTTGTTGGTTGATGATTCACAGGTAGGAAAACACTTTCGAAAAGAAATCCGCAGGTACAACAACACTCTGGCATTTGCGGCTTTCTCCACTGATCTGAGCCCAAGACGTTTGCCTGGTCAGGGACCAAGAGTATTCTCCGTTCACGGGCAAGTATATCGTAGGATTAGTAATGATGTTGTCAGAAATGAACTAATGCAACCAAGGTATTGTGAGTTGTATTTTATTGAATCCGGGGCAGCAAATCAGATTCGCATGGCACAACAGCCACGTGAACGACAACTATTGGAGAACTTGCTTGCAGACTTGGACAGACTGTTACGGCGAATCAATCCATTTGCGGTGGCTTTTGAGTAATATATATTACTTTAAATTATATTAACATATACATAATTGAATAAAAATATTACTTCAAGTTGTAGTGTGTTGAACACACATTACATTTGTATAGATATTGCACTTTTATGAATTACTACTATATGATACAACGAATGACTTTGGTTACCATTGCATTGAATACAAATTCGTGTAGACAGTAGTGCAACATTTTTGTTTAAAAAATTATAGTTTACATTATAATTACTACTTACTCATTAAAAAACCTATTTTAGGTTTAAACGATACAATTAAACTCCAACAGCTCCTTACAATTTCATATTAACTATACTATATATATGTCACATGTATATAACAATTTACATATATATATATATATATTGATTTTACTTTTTCTGTGTACATTTCCATTACAGTGTGTATTGTACCCAAGCGACATTTTTACTTAATACTTCTATGCAAAATTGTATTTCATACTTTCCAGTATGTGTGCTTAGTAATATGTTACATTTCCGAATTACATAAAATATACTGTGTGCTGTAATATTTATTTATCATGTTGCACTTGCCTATGGATAACATTTATTCTTTATCCATCTACTGTACACAAATGTGGATATACCATGTGGCTTTAATAATAACACAATATTATTTTCTTACAGAAACATGCGACAAGTATGGCAAAGGGAACAAGACGCCGCTGTGGCCAATCCAATGTTGCAACCGAAAAGGGTGACCATGCACATCGTCGCCGACCCGAACAATGACCCACGGCGATACAATCAACCAGCTGCTCATGTGAACGAGGTAGCAGTTGTCTTTGTTGGAGAAGATGGTCTACCACCAGGAAACCTCGATCTGGTCATCTATGACTCGAACCCAGTTGACCCAAATCACCGGATGCAAAGCATATCAGCTGGCTCACCTCATGCAGATCCAATGCTGTATCCATTGCTCTTCCCACATGGAGAAACCGGCTGGCATTACAACCTGCAACAAGAGGGCGTCCGCCGGAACGCAGTGCGTGTTCGGAACTCTATCAGAGAGTTTGCTTCTTATCGCCTGGCCATCAGATACACCGGAACCAATAACAATGGGAATGAAGGCCATACGTTTAGTTTATTACACGCAGCTGGTTTTTTGTTACAGCAGTACACATGTAATCACTACGTTCGCATGGAAGCGAACAATCTACGTTACATCCGAGACCACCACAGACGAGTCCCGGGAAAGAGCGGCGTCGCGGAAAAGGGAGTAGGTACCGTGTAAGTATCGCTATATACAGCAATAAATACATGCGTCGCGTCGTTTTTTTCTAAAATTCGTATCTTGGCCCGTTTTAGTGGTATTACCCTGCCTGTTTGGATGTTATTGGCATTCCCCGCTAAATTTATAAGCCGCCGTCGTCAGTACTTCGCTCGAGTCGAGTTCCGCGGAGGAGATCGGGGAGCGGACAGTGTTGTTATTACTTTATACGGAAATGAAAATATGCGACAAAAAGTTCGATTTTTTCATACACACTTTCATACACATAATACATAAGTCATAACACAATGATGCATTGATGCACCATTATAATTATGCAATTATAATTACTAAATAATTTAAAACATCATATGACATTTAATAAATTGGTAGGTAGGTACATCATATATTATATACAGACATACAATATAACAGCAAAATATTATGATAGTAGGTACTTACGAAGATAAGTGCCAAAAAATTGTATAGTGTATTCATTTATACATACCTACGTTTAATATGATAGTATTACATTTCAATACAATTTGTTATTCACCAATATAATTATCTATTTGTTAATTTGATTTAATTTTCATAATTAAATAAATATACATGGTAGGTAGGTATATCAGATTTGAACGGCCGTTTCGAGCACTTTTCGCTGTAGGCGGATTGTCCGTTCGGGAATCGACTTTCACCCGAGATGACTGTAGCTAGACACTCAAACTCAGAATCCGAATTTCCGATTTCAACACACACACTCCTGGGGGGCGATTCTTGAAAACGTGACATAATTTATCGAAAGTGACTAACGCATTTGTCGCAGGAAAAACAGTTTTTGATATTCTTGAAAAATGATAAAATTTTATCGATTAAAAACGATTCGACTATTTGTCTACTGCGATTAAATTAGTGACAAGATTTTGTCGAAGATAATTAATATTCGACTAGATTATTTTATATTGTTATTTGTTATCAACTGATAATAATGAAGTATGAAATATGAATATTAATTAGTAGGTAGGTACCTAAAATAAGATCACCTAAAATGGACAATTTATACGCAAATTTATTTTTAATTAATAATATTGAAGATCAAGTAAACGCGATACAACATGTCAGGATGATAAAAGAAAAACCTATGGATCCATTTATGTTGTCAGACAGATTATTTGTTAAAAGTTTTAGATTATCAAAATATCTTGCAAATCAGTTAATAGAAATGTTAAGACCACTAATTGAAGACGCTAATCGTTCATCGGCAATTGATTTAAAAACAAAAGTATGAATATTCAAAGTATTTATAACATAGTTGACAAATTACAAAGTACGTTTCAAAGCTGATATTTGTATTTACCATCTTGTAGGTACTCGTTGCATTACACTTTTTTGGCACTGGTTCTTACCAAACACCAATGGGTCATAGTCGATTTACTGCTCTATTACAATCTTCTGTATCTCGATGCATAAATGAAGTTGTAAAGGCTCTTAATCATCCTGATATTTTCAACTTATGGGTTAAGTTTCCATAAAATATATACGAACTTGACCAAGTTCGAAAAAAGTAAAAATAATCTTTCTTTCTTGTCTTCGTTTTTTTATTATAACATTGATATTTTTAGATTTTATACGAAAACAAGATTTCCAGGAGTTATTGGTTGCATTGACTGCACTCATGTTGCATTAGTACCACCATCTTCAAATTTAAATTTAATAGAAAACCAACACCCTGAGTACATTTATGTAAATCGTAAATGCTACCATTCTATAAATGTCCAACTAGTAAATATCGCATTTAATTTATAATGTTGAATATGTTTGAGTTATAGGTTAATTTTCTGAAATTTAAATTGTATTTACATAATGTTGTAGATTTGTGATTCAGATTTGAAAATACTAAATGTTAATGCATTGTTTCCCGGAAGCACACATGATTCTCATGTTTGGAATAATTCTAGTGTCTTACCATTACTTCAAGATCTATATACAAATGGTCTTAATAATATTTACTTGTTAGGTAAATAAATTATAAATATAGTTCAAACTTTATCTATTAAAATACTATTAACTAGGGGATTCAGGCTACCCATTACGTCCATGGATGCTAACTCCCATTGCAAATCCAACTACTGAAGCCGATGAATATTTTAATAAACAACAAATGTCCACTAGAAGTATCATTGAACGTTGCAATGGAGTTCTAAAGGGACGTTTTAGGTAAATTGTATTTAGACCATGTATTATACAATGAGGATAGTACATTTATTAATTTTTTATACTCAATTCATAGATGTCTTCTAAAAGATCGAACTCTGCATTACAAACCAGAGAAAGTATCACAAATAATTAATGCTTGTGTTGTTCTTCACAATCTATGTATAACGTACAATCTTCCTGAATTTGTGGATGGAGAAAATATAACTGATTTTGGCATATACCAAGCTCCACTGGGTGTTGCAGAAAACAATGATTTAAATTTAAGAAACAGAGATTTAATGATGGGAAGGAGACAAAGACAAAAAATTATTCAACTTTTACAAAATAGAAATAATAGGGAAGAAATATAACATTATAATATATTTATATAAACACTTTATATTAATTGCAATTCAACATAATATTTATTAAAATTTTTAATAACAATTTTAAAAATAAAGATTAAATATATTAGACTATAAAATGTATAACATTATGTGTTAATTATTATTCAACATTAATACATTATATATATATATATATATATTTAAATTTTTAATAACAATTTAAAAAATAAAGATAAAAGATATTAGTCTATAACATGTATAACATTATGTATTAATTACTATTCAACATTAATACATTATATATAAATTTAAATTTGTAATAACAATTTATAGGTAAAGATTAAAATGTTCAGACTATAAAATGTATAACGGTATATATTTTTACAAACATTTTGTATTAATTATAATTAAGTACTGTTCAACATAATACTATATTATATTATAATATATATTTACATTTTATTTTGAATGTATGTTTCCAAAAGTGTATGCATTTTGCTGAGGATATTATTTTTTTGTTGTAAAAGAATCAACTTTTGATCATAATAATTAGATTTAATATTTAATTTTTTAGATGTAAGGTCAACCATATTCTGGGCAACTTTGTTGCTGTCTGATAATCTTTCAGATGCAGATTGTTTTTTCATAGGTTGTTCGGAGTTTATACCCTCTAAAAACAAATTATTAATAATAAATGTTAAAAATACAGAAATGTTTCTAAAATTTCTTACTGGGAATATGATATAACAAATATAATAGATCAACAATAAACAATAGAAAATAATTATATTGTAATAAAAAATATAGATATTTCGTACAAAAACGCTAATTTTATTATATGAAAAAGTAAAAGACTGGTTCGACAATAATCTATAAATAATCTATCACAGTTAAATATTAATAAGTCAAAATATATTTATTTTAAGAACTACTCAAATATTATTAACATATGCCACTAAATATGTTTTCACTTGTCAAACTGTAATGGTATCTGCATAACATCTCAAACTGTATAATTTTAGAATAAGTAAGCCATATTTAAATTCTAAATAACCTTAAATAGGTTAATTCAATTTTAACTACTAAAACCTATGTATTATAGCAATGTTATAATCTTGCATATCTTACACTTGCTGTGATGCCCATATATGAGTATATATGTATATTTTAGTAATACTTTACTTAGTTTATTTCAATAACTACATTTTTCAAGGATTCACCTATTGCAGATTTTTTTTTGTTATTCATTTTATATTGTATACTTTCTAAATTAATTTAAATATATTATGCATTTTATAAAACTTTGATTGTAATGAACTTACACTTTTCATCCCCATCACAAGCATTATACCCACTAATAGGGGAGTTTGCATCTATTTATTCTAATTAATATTAAGTTGTATTATCATTTATCAATATACATTGGTAATTTTACAAGAAATATACCTATATTATTATTATTAGTTAAATAATGTTTGATAATAATTTAAGAGCTAAGTATAAAAAATGTTGAAATTATCTACTTGATTTAGGTACACTTTTTAACTGCAATTCTTGTCCAGTTTCTACAAGCTTGGGTGATAAATCATCAACATCATTGGGTACTATATAACACAAATTGGTAAATAATACAAACTAATAATAACTGTTATAATAGACTTACCATAATTTTGATTGTTCTCAATAACTACATCAAAATGACTTATGTCCAGTTGCAAATCTTCAAATTGGGCCAATTGGGGATCTATATCATAAATCACAATACAACTATATAATAAAAAAATAACAAAATATGTAGCTGAAGGTAATTTTTTAATATTGAATTCAATATTAAATACAGTGTTTTACCAAAATCATCTAGAATTCATTTTTGGTTTATTTTAGTATAACAAAATAATATTTTAGCTGTACCTTCTGTTGTTTCTGCATCTTTATTATAGATGTTCGTACATGTTGTTTGTTCTGAAAGTGTTTCATAGTTAAATGATACAGCGGACTCCACTGAATTCAAATGACCACTTATAGCCACTTGGCTCATTAATGGAATACTATCCATTTGAGCCTCTGACATTACCAAATTAGTGGCAGGTCCTCCTCCAGTACCATTAATATGTCTTTTGATTGCTGAAGCCTTATTTTTTGCAGTTGCCCTAGTGTCTTGCCATGCCTCAAAAATAATAAACAGTTTAATCTATAATTTCCATTATTTTAAATACACATTTTAAATACCTTTTTCCATTTATCCCCTGATTTTTCGCAGCCAGGTAGAGAGTTTAATTCGATGGCAATGTCCTCCCATCTTGCCTTAGCAATTTTTTTTGTGAAATTTGCTGAAAATTTTCCAGCACTCAATTTTGGGTCATTAGACATCAATTCAACGAGCGTTTTCATCTGATGTTTTGTAGGCCTCGATTTTGCCATTGTGTATAATATATTAATAATTATTATATTATTAACAATTGTAGACCGTAGTACCTATTAGGTAGTTAGAAGTTAGAACTTTTCACTTCTCAGTATTTTTTAAATGTTTTTAATAACTTTATCACATAGAGTAATTACTCTATGCTTTATCACCGGCAAATTATTAATTATCAGTTATTTGAGGTTAAAATTGATTAGATTTGATGTTACCACAGTGGTCCATTAGATTACTTTGTCGCATTCGACAAATGATAAAATCTTATCGATTTCAGTTCAAGAATACCAATTATACATCGCATGCGATAAAAATTTGTCACTGTCGATAAAATGTATGACTTATCTCACGTGCGATAAATTAATCACGTTTTCAAGAATCACCCCCCAGAACCGGACATACACGCCCGGTGCATGGTCTACGATCCGACGTAGTCGGATTGCCTACCTGACTAGCTACTTGCATACGAGCGACTTACACCCCCACTGCAACCGACACTCGGGAATCGACTTTTACCCGAGATGACTGATAGCTAGACACTCAAACTCAGAGAACCCGAATTTCCGATTTCAACACACATACGAGAACCGGACATACACGCCCTTTGCATGGTCTGCGATCGTCGATTGTCGGATTGCCTACCTGGCTGGCTGTGTCTTACGATCGACTTGAATCGCGTGACTTACGACTAGACACTCTTTCGAGTTCAAAAATTACCGCTTAACCAGTGCTGCCAACACGACAAAACACAATACCCGACGATCCCCCCATTCCCGCCGCAAGCCGGATCAAAAAACCCAGCATCGCCGACAAAGATGCACCACTGCCCACACAGTCTTTCCGCCGCAGGCGGGATGACAAACGCCAAAATCTAGTCTTATATAATAAAACGCTAATAACGCGTATAAGATCCGCGGGGAGCGCTGACGGCACTCCGCGTTTCTTCCATGACGACCAATCACAATACTTCCCGCGCGTTCGCTATAAATTCCGCTCGCTTATCACCCTTTTCCTCATCGACGAATATTTTCGAACATTATTATTATTATTATTATTCCGTATTTCTATATTATTATATATAATATATATAAAATAATGTAATTTGTGATATATAACGCACAATTCAGTTTTTGAAATCTTCTAAAATGTTATGTTCGCTTTAATAAATTGTAAAATATGTTATTATTTGAATTTTATTTTTATTATATTATATCGTAGGTACCTACTATGCAAATTAAGTCGATTCCGGTCGCTGTGGTGGAAGCCGCAATTAATCAGCATTTCAATATAATATATTAAAAATATATAAGTAGTTTGAATAGATAGACATTTTTCATGAGTATTGCAGTACATTTAACTATTGTACCTAAGAGTTTTAGTAGGACCTTGGTATGTCGTTACATACATAATAATGTAAGTACACATGATAAGACTACAATAAATCCAATTTATTTCAATTTCTTAAAATATATACATGTTATTTTTTGTAGTATTATTATTATTATATTATATATACTAATATATTGTTATTATTCGGAAACGTCGACTGTGTTGATGGAGTTTCGTTGCACAGGTTACAATAAATTTATTAACAACTGTTAGCGCCACTGTGGCAACACTGATACGCTCCGGCGGCTCGACTGTGCTCGGCGACTGGACTGCCTCCGGCCTCGTCCTGTTTTGTCGCGATCGCGGTGCACGACGTAAGTGCTCCGCCGACGGTGCGAACTGCCGTAATTGTTTGAGTATTTTTTTGTTAAATAAACGCCTCACGAATAATATTTTGCTTTGTTAATAACTTTCAAATATCCTGACATTATAATTCCTATCATTTCAGAAGTGGGATACGGTCTTTTTTTTTTTAATTTTACCTAGTTTCGAGTGCGTAAGAAAAAAAAAAAAAAAGTCCGATTGAATTCCGTATTCGCCTCCCGTCTGCGTCGTTACGCCGAAAATCACGTTTGTGTTTCGAAAAACGCTGTGTGCGTCGTAAGTTCGTTTCCGAAAACGCTGTGTGCGTCGTGAGTTCGTATCCGAAAACGTGGTTACGTGCCGTTAACGTTAGTTCGAATTTGGAGGTTACGTTGATATCGCTCTTCGAGTCGACGACCTGACGTAACCGCAACCCTGGTAACCGGTACTATCGCACCTTATCAGTGGTCGTTCGATGATTGGATAACCGTTATCAAATCTTCATATCATCACAACATAAACATTATGGATGACAACAAAGATCAGTCGGAACCTAAGGCTCCGGACTATCTCGATTTGTACAACACAGTGACCGAATTGCGAGAGAAATTGCGCCTACTGGAAGCATCGGCGACTTCGAACAATCAACCGCCGACGTCGAACCTGCCAACGCTCGCCTCGACGACGTCAAATGTTCCGGTCATGACACCGTCCGTTGACTACCGCATCCTGCCAGATGTCAGCACGTCTATTTGGACTTTTACCGGTCACGAGACTAGTGCACAAGCGGATGACTGGATCAGCTCCGTCGATGGGTTGGCACAGGTGAACCACTGGCCGTTAAGGTATCGACTCCAGTATGTACGTGCGCATGTGACAGAAGCCGCTCGTAGTTGGTTCTTACTAGAAGTATTTGAGGATTGGGACTATTTTGTACAGAGATTCCGTAGGACGTTCGTGCGTACACTACGAAAGGCAGACCTATGGAGGGAACTTGAAGCACGGATTCAGGCAATGAACGAACCCACAATTGACTATTACTACGCGAAAATCGGATTGTGCCGTTCATTAAGCCTGAGCTTCGCCGAAACGCGTGACTATATCCTCGAAGGACTTAGGTGACAACAACAGGCAGATTGGGTGTCTAGCAGGAGACAGGCCGACACTGACGAATTGTTGTCCGATCTTCGTGACTGGGAGAAGCTGCGTGCCAAGCGTCAACAATTGTTCCAGCCCGCGACGACAAATCGGACTAACACTAAACAACCCGCGACTTACGTAAACGCCGCCGTACCGCGTAACGCCGACAAACCGAGTGCAGCGCCTATGAATGTCCCGACGAGTCACAAAACTTCCACTACGACGTCCAATGACACTGAAGCCACGTCGACGATTAGTTGTTACAATTGTCGTGGGAGAGGACACATATCGCGTGACTGTCCGCGTCCACAACGTCCAATGAAGTGCTCCGGGTGTGGTTCGGACCAACACCGACGAAGTGGCTGTCCCGCACCAACTGTGGGTAAGTCCAATAATGGTGAATCCGGACAAGCATATCAGGTCAATGCGGCACACGTCGTTATACGATCGAACCCATTTGAGAAGTCCGTCTCGTTGAACAACGTCCAGCTCTCAGGTTTGATCGACACCGGCTGTTCAGCTGTATTAGTACGCCAATCCGCCGCGACAAAGTGTGGCTTAACAGTACTGCCTCGGACGATTCCGCTTTTCACCGTAGGCAGCGTGAACCAACCTAGTACCTGTGCGGTGGGCGAGGCACAAGCGAACGTGACAATCGATGGTGTGTCCGCCGAAAGTCATGATTTGAAAATCGTGGACGACAACTCGATCCCTGTGGATGTACTGGTGGGACGCACCTGGTTAGAGCTCCCCCACGTTGGTTATTATAAACAAGGGAATGAACTAGTAATAGAAACAAACTGTCATCTCGAGGGTACAGTATTGACCGACGAAACGTGTTGTGGCGATGCACAAGTGCTGGCGGTGGAGTGCGAAAACGAACAATTCCCCGTGGTCCCGATCTTCGGCGACGAAGTGAACATTGATCCCGGAGTGGACGCCGACGGTCGGAAAATTTTGCTGTCACTTCTCAACCGTTACCGCCATGTCTTTGCAAAGTCGATCAGAGAATTAGGCTGCACGAATCTACTGACTATGGATATCGTCGAAGCAGACAATAGCGTTCCCGTCCGAATGAAACCCTATAAAACGTCGCCGACCGACCGACGTAAGATAGCCGAAATACTTCAAGAATGGAAACAAGCAGGCATTGTTTCTGATTCGGCCTCGCCTTACGCCAGTCCGGTCTTGTTGGTCGACAAGGCCAACGGTGAAAAAAGACTGTGTGTCGACTATTGAAAATTAAATCAACAAACTGTGACACAACCTTTTCCAATGCCCGACGTCGACTCACAACTGAGCGAGCTGGCCAATGGACGAATTTTTACGACGTTAGATTTGTCCAATGGTTTCCTACAAATTCCGCTTTCGGACAAAACGAAGGACAAAACCGCGTTCGTAACGGAACAAACAACCGCTAGGTTCGAGAGGATGCCTTTCGGGCTAAAAGGGGCCCCGGCGACCTTCCAAAGATTGATGTCTGTCGTGTTTAAAGACCTCGAGGAAGCCGGTAAGGTCCATACCTATCTCGACGACATTATAATTCCATCGAGAACTTGGAACGAAATGCTGGAAGACTTGGAATCGGTTCTGAGAGCCTTGGCGGATGCTAACCTCACGTTAAAGCCGTCCAAGTGTTCGTTCGGTATGCGCACCTTAGACTACCTCGGATTCCGAATCACTGAAGGAGAAATACGACCGGGACGGAAGGTCGACGCGCTAGCCAATTTTCCACGGCCCCAGGACGCGCACGAAGTGAGGAGGTTCCTAGGACTCGCCGGATATTTCCGACGATTTATCGTAAAATACGCCGAAATCGCAGAACCACTCACCCAACTTACGGGAAAGGACGTGCCTTACTGCTGGCAAGATGATCAACAGACGGCTTTTGACACACTGAAGGACAAGCTGTGTACAGAACCAGTCGTCGCCATGTATAATCCCAACGCGGCGGTTACGGAAGTGCATACCGACGCGAGCGCGAAAGCGTTGTCGGGGATACTGTTCCAAGGTGTGAGAACTACCGACCTCAGAATGATTTACGCTGTGAGTAAGTGAGCTACGTCGGCCGAATCGAAACACCACTCGAGTCGACTCGAGCTCTACGCTATAATCTGGACCTTGAACCGGCTACGACATTATTTGCTGGGGATACGATTTACGGTCATTACCGATTGCCAAGCTCTAGTGTACTTAAACGTACACAAAACAACGAAACCCCAGATTGCTCGGTGGTACGAGATACTACAAGAATTCGACTTCGAAATAAAATACCGACCGGGGACGCGTATGTCGCACGTCGACGCCCTTAGCCGTGTGGTATACGACGGAGCGGAACCAGATGACTCGGTTGACGTCGAAATTTCAAACAGAGTCGACGTTTATGTGACTATGACAAAACACGAAGCTGTACGGTTACTTCAAGCCACGGATGAAGGCACGCGCCGGATAATCGAACTTCTGAACGGAGAACCTACGCAGAACAACAACGAGGCAACTGGTTACCAGGTAACCGAGGGAGTGTTATATAAGGTCCACCGTGGCCGCCCGTTACTCGTTGTACCAAAATCCATGCGTAAGGGCGTGGTTATTGCAGCGCATGACTACGGCGGACATTTTGCCGTCGATCGCACCGTTGCACGTATAACCGACGATTATTGGTTTGCCGGAATGAAGCGCTATGTTAAGCAACACATAGCTATGTGTGTGGATTGCCTCACAAACAAGAAGCCCGCAGGACCAAAACCTGGATTTCTGCATCCAATACCGCCGGGGAGACGACCTTTCCAGACCATACACCTGGATCACCTCGGGCCGTTCGAAACTACGATAGCAAAAAATAAGTATTTACTCGTGTTGGTGGACAATCTGACGAAATATACGATGTTATACCCGTGCAAGACGACCAACGCCGCCGCAGTAGTACGCGTCTTAGACAAGTTCTGTTCCAAACGAGGGATACCGGATCGAATTATTACAGATCGAGGTACGTGTTTTACGGCCAACGCGTTCGGGAAATTTTGTAGCGATCGAGAAATACGTCATACACTGAACTCCACACGACACCCGCAGGCTAACGGGCAAGTGGAGAGGGCCAACCGTACAATTGTCTCGTTACTTAGTGTCACGGCCACCGAACACAATAATTGGGACACGCAACTACGGTACGTCGAGAATATGTTGAACACGGCTCCGAACAAGTCAACGACAAAAACACCGTACGAGACGTTGCACGGTTACCTACCTCGTTTTCACAAGGGAATACTACCTACGCTCACTCGAAATAACTGGCGGGACCCACAGGAAATTCAGACGGAGGCACGACGGAATATTATCGACGCCCAACGCGCAATGAAGATTTCCCACGACCGCAATAGGTATGAGGGCGTAAGGTACGAAGTTGGTGAAGTAGTGGTTATGACAAAACCACCAGTGCCGCATATATCGGCAAAACTTCAACCCAAATACCGCGTAAAACCACTTCAGGTTATGGAGGTGCTGCCAGGCGACACATATCGAGTTGCCGAACTCGCAACAGACGGGCACGAAGTGTATGCCACGACGGCACACGTCTCGCAGCTCAAATCGTGGACGGTCCTGAACGAAAAGGACGACAGTGATGAGGGCGAGGACGACAGTGATGAGGGCAAGGACGACAGTGATGAAGACGTCGATGGTACTGCCAATCCACCCAAAAACGACGAAATCCACGCAGGCAACAACAGGGAAGGAAGGGCCGAGCAGACCATGATGGGTCCCAAGCGCAGTACGAGGACTCGACAAACGCCGAAGTACCTCGAGGATTACTCCACAACAGGGTAAAAAAAAAAAAAAAAAAAAAAAGGAAAAGAGTAACATTTCAGTTTATATTCGTTTAATTATTTATTTTATTTATATTTATATTTATATTCATGTTAACGAGGTGTCTGGCCCGGGGACGGTCCAGCGGTCAGGACGGTCGAGTGTTAGCGCCACCGTGGCAACACTGATACGCTCCGGCGGCTCGACTGTGCTCGGCGACTGGACTGCCTCCGGCCTCGTCCTGTTTTGTCGCGATCGCGGTGCACGACGTAAGTGCTCCGCCGACGGTGCGAACTGCCGTAATTGTTTGAGTATTTTTTTGTTAAATAAACGCCTCACGAATAATATTTTGCTTTGTTAATAACTTTCAAATATCCTGACATTATAATTCCTATCACAACTCATACTACAACTACTCATCATGTAATGTTTAAATTAGGTTTCCAGCGAATGCCGGCCGGAGACGTCAGTGGGTGCTGTTTGTCGAGAACTGTGGTATAAATGCACAACAGATTTTGGCCAACTCAAAAGTGTGCTCGAGGCATTTCGTACTAGGTCGTGATTATGAAGGAGAAACACAACATCGTCGTCGTCTCTTCTCAAGAGCGGTGCCATCTTTAGTGAGTGTATCATGACTATTTGCATTAGGTATTCCAATGACACTGTTACAATACTACACCAAACCATACACAGACACAACTTAGATTGTAGCAATTGCATTAAGTTAATAATTATTATTACATAATGTCATACGGTGTCATTTATTTATTAACATATAATATCATGCTTATATAGACACAATTCATTAAATTACTTAACATTGAAATACCAATTGTTCAATTCATATTATTACTATTCAAATGTAATAAAGTATTTTTTCTAATAATTTTAATTGAACTAATTACAATAATACTTTTGTTCTTTTTACACTTCCATTTCTATAACACCTCTATGTGTATCTTAAATGTATTGTTTTCGTTATTGTCAGAGGGGATACATTCTCTAGGCGACAATTCATTTTATTTATGCACAATAATAACTTACATTATTACAGCTATAATCATTCAACAATTGCTGCTATTGACCTTTATTCGGTCTGCAGTGCAATTCACTATAACGTGTAGTTTAAATGTTACTAACTAATCGATTACAATATGCTCTCCACACTGTTTTTTATTTATTCAAAATGTACTGTACTTATTACATTCCCTATCGGTGAGCTGATTTTTATATGCTTATATTAAGTCGCATGTCATTGGTATGTGTGTAGTAATAAAACATTATTATAATATCACATAATTATTACTTCAATTCATACCTTATACCTGTACCAACCTTTACATTGGGCTACACATATTAATTTTTTGCAATATTTCAAACAAATTTCAAAACAAGAAAACTACATATACATATTATATATATGTTTTAAAATTATAATAAATTGAATTTAAATTCCTCCAATGCTTAAAATATTGTAATATTTTTATTATGTCGTTGGTATGCAAAAATGTATTATACATGATTTATACATATTATATTATTGTATTAATAATAATAAATACATAAGTATATATAATTTATATTCTACTTTTTTAAACTTTAATTTATATATATTTATTTATGATTGTGTTTAATGTTATGTATATTAAAATTTAAACTTTATTGTGTTTAAAATAAAATGTATGTAGTAAAAAATGTAGTAGGTAACTAATAAGTATTTTTTTTTTTTTACTTTAGTACCACCACACATGTTGCCTTCAGTATTATTCAATAACCCATATGTGAAACGCAAAATTCAGAAATGGTTCAAGTGCTTGAGATTCAAATATTCAAAAAATGTTTTTTGCATTTCTTTTTTCAAAATTTTTTTTTTGCATTATACCATCATATTATTATATTAAATTATTATATGCATATCTATAGATATCCTTTGCAATGTAATAATTATTTAATTTGATAATTTAAAAATTAACCTACCTAAGCAAATGTAATGTACAATAAATATAGGTACATTACCAAGTTTAATTCCTTCAATTCATACCTTATACCTGTACTATCCTTTACATTGGGTTACACACATTAATTTTTTGCAATATTTCAAACAAATTTCATATATACATTATTATGTGTTATAAAATTATAATAAATTGAATTTAAATTCCTCCAATGCTTAAAATATTGTAATATTTCTATAATGTCGTTGGTATGCAAAAATGTATTATACATGATTTATACATATTATTGTATTAATAAATACATAAGTATCATTTATATTCTACTTTTTTAAACTTTATTATATAAATATATATATATATAATTATTTACTATTGTGTTTAATGTTATGTATTTTTTTTTTTTTTTTTACTTTAGTACGACCATACATGTCTGAAACGCAAAACTCAGAAATGGTTCAAGTGCTTGAGAATCAAATATTCAAAAAATGATTATTTTCCTTTCTTTTTTCAAAATTTTTTCTTTGCATTATACTACCATATTATTATATGCATATCTATAGATATCCTTTTCAATGTAATTATTATTTAATTTAAAAATTTACCTACCTAAGCAAATGTAATGTACAATACATATAGGTACATTAGACTGTTATGAGAATGCACATACTTACATTATTATTTAAAATATGTATATCAATAATATTAACAAAAAAAAAAAATATATATATATATAAGTAGTTTGAATGCACAAATTTGATAGACATTTTGCAGTACATTTATTTGAAAGCTAAGAGTTTTAGTAGGAGCTTGGTGTGTCGATTGTTAAGACAATGTCAATTTCTTAAAATATACATATAACGTTATGCTAATATATTTTATATAATATATAATATGTATTACCAAGTTTAATTACTGCAATTCACACCTTATATTTTTATATAATATAGTAACCATCACGTTGGCAAGAAAACATGAAAACTACATATACATGTGATATCCTCAAATGGTGTAACTATCCTTAAAATATTGTATTATTAGTCATCATTTTTATGTGGTTGGCATGCAAAAATTTAGTATACATATCATTTATATAATTTTTATTATTATTATAATTTTAATTGTATTGAGTTTAATGTGTTATATATTAAGAAGATAAATATAAAATAACATTAATTGATACCCATGTTCAATTAGTAACTACATTTGAAAAGTTTCATTTATTTCTTACTTATTTTATTGCCCTATACACATTTAGGCTACCCTTACCTACAATAAGACATTGGTTAACAATTAATGTTGTCTTTAGTATTATTCATTAACCAATAGTACCAGCAGTAATTTGTTCGGGCCTATGCATTCCATTTTAAAGGAGAGTTGTGCAAACTTATATAATTATGATAACTTAGGTTAGGTTATGTATACAAAAAAAAAAACACTTATAAATAATTGTTGTAAATAATCATTTATTTTGCATTCTGAAAATATATACAAAAACAAATTAGAATTAGAAAATAAAAATAACTATAAAGCCATTATTCTATAAACAATGTATTTAACAACATTTATAACTAACATGTATATTACATAGTAAATATATAAATATTTTTAATATTACTCACTTCTATACTCATCGTGGCCAGCCCACAGGCCACCGACGACACACCACTCGGGCCTCGGACCGAGTGCTGGCGCGGGGCCTGCCCCCGCTCCTCTTTATTCCCACGTCGCCGGAATGGGGACCTACTTCGCTGCCGGGGGGGGGACCGGTCACGCCGCCGGCGGGGGGACGAGTCCCTTTTAGTGTTTTTCTTCCTGCCTGCATAGTAAATAATATTTTAGATGCATTGCTTACGATCACATATATAATATACAAAAAATACACTTACAATGGCGGGCCAAGTGGCCGCTTCTTCGGCAATTGTAGCACTCTGAAAAAGAAAAGCGGACAACATTACTATGTTTATCATTGTATATACGTAATGACAATTAATAATATTTATACATACTTTTGGGTGCTAAAATCCCACCCTTGGGCTTTTTGTTGGTGACGGGGCTTGAAGCCACCGTCACCTGGCAATTAGTGAATTTGAACATTCTACAACGAAAAATTAACATTAGTAAAGTTGTCAAAAAAAACAAAAAAACAAAAAAATGAAAAATATAATAAAGTAACGTGTACTCACTTCGACTGGTCGAATGGTCGATGGCAAATGAATATAGAATTGATTCCACCGTTTAGTTTTGCCTTGCATTTTACGTATTTACCGATATCATTACCAACACCGCGGGTCTGTCAAAATCGTTGACCAGCTTATTGAAAATAAATTAAATTAGATTGGCAACTTTTGGTATAACTGTTGTCACGTGGTGGCGGAGTAGAGGGCGAAAAGCGCAGTGGACCTGGGTCAGCTCTCCGATCCGACATCGGGCGACTTTCTTCGACGAGCGTCTGTGCTGAACGTTGGTTTTTTTTGTTATTGCGTATACTAATACACAAATTTGCACTTTTTTTTTTCTTACCTTTTTTTTACTACCTTTTTTTTTTTTTACTACGTTTGGCGTTTTGTAGACTGGTGAGTGCTATTTTTTTTATTATTTAAAAGCTTAATTGTTCACCCCGTGTACTTATACACCATTACAGTCACCCAATTATTAAGACGTTACGCATGATTTAAAAAGCAACATGCATTGTTTCCCGTGCGTGCTCCCTCGAAATCCAAACTTGGTGTCTCGAAGGTGTCGCGTTTTTTTATTTGCATTTCAATGTGTGATGTCATTTCTATATTCCTTCCCGAGATCATCGGTCGGTAGTTGTTGAAATACATTCCCGTTACGTACGTCGCGCTTTTCACCGCTACTTTTTTTTGAATTCTCTTCTTACGCTTTTGTTTTGTAATTCTGGAAAATTTCTTATACATTGTTTTCTGTGTATATTATGCGTACCATCATTACACGTGTACCGTATACACACTTTTTCTAAATATAACACAAAACTCTTGGAATTCCCGTGTTGCCGTATCATCGGGCACTGATAAGTGATAACAACAGTCAATATTGCATAATAAC